CCCAGGTGAGATAATGTGACATAAACTTGTAATAGCCCCAATCAACATGGTTTCATGACATTCTACACCTAGTAGAAAATGAAGAGAAGCAACAGTGCTAGGAGTACTCTAAGGGCAATGTGATCAATGATAAAAAGAAATACATCCTATATATCCAAATAAGTATGCCAGCAGCTTGTTTGTAGTAGCAAAAGAACAAAGTAAAGTAAAAGTAGTAAAAAAGTAGTAAAAAAAAAAACAAAGTAAACACTCACTGATCAGGGAATAATTAAGAAAATTGAGGCACACGAGTGGAACATAGCTGTGCTATAAGAAACAGCAAATGCAAGGAACACAGAGAAGCACAGAAATACTTATATGAGCTCATGCAAAGTTAAATAAGCAGAGATTGGAAAACAATATCTTCAATAACTCCTGTGTTGGGGGGAAGGGGAGGGTACAGCTGATTCCTCTGGACATGGATGCCTTCTCTAGCCCAAGGACTATAAATTTCAGAGCATTGGTTGAGGGAGTTTTCTCACTAGGAGATCCCTACACTAACAAAACCACACACCTCACAAAAGAAAAGCAAACTAAAATCTAATAACAATGCCGGGGGACACTGAGATTCTATTATTACAAAGACAGATGCACGGTAGGTTCCTGGTGGAAGATTTATGTGGAAACACGAATGTGAACCACCCAGGCTGAGGAGGCCATGCTCTACATGAGTTGGAGGGGGCACCCATACTGACAGGACCACCATTCTTCGATATATCCAGGTATAAATGAAGCTGCCCATGAGTGGTCACCTAGAGAGGGGAAGAGACTGTGCTATTACAGCCTGAGCCAAAGAAAGGAAAGTGCAGTGACATTTCTAAGATTTATTGCTATTGTCCAGTTTTATGGTACATTAGCATTTAAATAGATTCTTTAATATTTTCTCTTGAACGCCACAATAACACAAACCTTTCACGTTAGACTTACATAGTGGTTTGTTGCTTAATTCCCCCTTAATTTTTAGTCAGATGTTAGACTGTTTTGTGGCAAGGCCTCCTCAAAAAAAAAAAAAAAGGCTTGAAACTATAAGCCTTGGATTTGTTCTCTCATCTTCTTCGGTAAAAATAGACATCTCCCTCTCTTCCCCTTACCTGCAACAGAGAAGTTGTGGAAAATTGTATAGCAACTCAGCAGGGACACCTTGTTCTTTTCCTCACAAGTGCCCATCTTACAATGGGAACCCTCCCAAGTGGCCCAGCCCTTGAGCAAAACAGAAAATAAAAAGCATAAATAAGAGCCAGCAGATGGATGCTACCCAAGTCTTTTACTCCTAAAGCTCTGTGAGGGGCGCCACCATTCTTCCAGTTTCCCAGATGAAAAACCTTAGAGAAGTCTTTGATGCCTTCCTTTACCTCATTATCTATATATGGTCTATTACCAAGAATAGAAAGTCCAAAAATATTCTTTTGGTTTGGGGGTACCCATCCTATGATCTCCCTCATTGCAGGCTGCCTCTGCTCTGGACCTGGCCTTTCCTTTTGCCTGGCTCCCCTAGTCTTGCCCTTTTCTGGAAACTTCCAGATGCCATGATAGAAGCACCCATGCTCCTTACTTGGGAATATTTCCACTCTGTACAGGGAAACATGTTCAATGTTAGGGCAAAATTCCCTTCAGTGGATGCGAGGACAATGCCGGGGTACATAGTGCCTACCCAAACATCAAGTGAGATATGAAGGGAGAAAGATGCTCACTGGGCAGTTAGATGGTGCAGTAGATAGACCACCTGGAGTCAGGAAGACTTGGGTTCAAATCTGGCCTCAGACACTGACTAGCTGTGTGACCCTGGGCAAGTCACTTAATCTTGTTGGCCTCAGTTTCCTCATCTGTAAAATGAGCTGGAGAAGGAAATGGCAACCCATTCCAGTATCTTTACCAAGAAAACCCCAAAAGGGGTCACAAAGAGTCTGACACACCTGAAAACAACTGAACAACAATAAAGGTGCTCTCCAATTGGTGCTTACCCTTGTCATATGACAGGGAGAGTATCCAGTACAAAGTAAAAAACAAAGAGGGCTTTCCTACATAGTGAGGCTTCCTATTGACAAGTGACAAGTGATATTGTATTGACTAAACCATAACCTGGAAAATTTCAGTCTCCTAAATAAGGTCCACGCCCACTCAAAGAAATCCAACCTAATGTCCAAATGGATGAAGTCTGCCTATTGAACAGACTATGATATGCAATTGGATGGACAGCTCATTGAGCTGGAAAGGCAGCGCACACAGACAATGAGCTAGACCCACAATTGAGCAGGAGAAGAAATTTGCACTAGATTGCATTTAGGAAATCATACAGTGCTTTTAATGACCTGAAATGACCCCACACACACTTTTTAAATACCAGTATTCTTATGGAAATGCTATTTGGATACACCAAGCATGGAAAATCATAATATCTATAGAATTAAAGTTGCAGGTTGCTCAAAGGGGATGGAGAGAAACATGGTAGACATGAGCAGGTTGCACATTACCAATAACAAATTGTACAGGAGAAATAATGAAAATAATATTATCATAGAAATGTATGAATTGAAAAAAGAGATTAGCTGGTCATGTAGTGAGAACAAGGAATAAAAGATGGAAAGCTCCTGTGAGCATATAGGTGCTCCCACAAGGTCAAGAGCTCTAGAGACAGGCCTTCAGCTTATTAAGTGGACAGCCTTCTCACCCCCAAGGAGGAATATGGTAGAATGCAGAAAGGAATTATAAGGAAGGAGCAGACCCTGATAGGTTTGGACTCTATACCGTTGGGAGGAGTACCAAAATCAGTGAGGTTGTGGACCCATTGAAATATTTAAGTAATGTAGAAACATTAAAGATTTTTGTATCAGAGAATGACATGATGGAAACAGTCTTTTAGGTCTTCCTGAAAAGTTGCATTGGAAATAGGATGTTTCAAGATCACATATGATCATGATGGAGTACTACTGTGCTATAAGAAATGATGAAAGAGATGGTTTCAGAAAAATCTGGAAAGATTTATATGAATTAATGCAAAGTGAAGTGAGCAGAAACAGGAGAACAATGTACATAGTAATAGCAATATCGAAAGATGATCAATTGTGAAAGATTTAGCTACTCTGATCAGTACAATGATCCATGACAATTCCAAAGGACTGAAGATGACAAATGCTGTCCACCTCCAGAGAGAGAACTGATGAACTCTGAGTACACATTAAAACATTTCTTCACTTTATTTTTCTTGCTTTTTTTGCAACATGATTAATATGGAAGCATGTTTTGCATGACTTAACCTGTACAATGGTATCATATTGCTTGCCTTCTCAATGAGAGGCTGGGAAAAGGAGGGAGAGAATTTGGAATCAAAATTTTTTTAAATGTAAAAAAAAAATCCTATTTTCAGTGTGCTAGGGAAGAAGATTGGCCAAGTAATGGGTCCTTGCAGTGAATACTCGCGTAAATAAAGAATCCCTCTGCAATGTGAATAGTCAGCCACCCTCATATCAAAGGATTGAGAACCAGAAAGGAAGTTAGAGAATACTTAGTCTCACCCCCTCATTTTACAAAGGGGGAAACTGATGTCTAGAAAATCAAGCCACTCCTCTCTTACCATCTAGATTATTTCAAAGTCCAGTTTCTGTAGAACCTCCAATGCAAGACCTCATCTGGAGCCCCCACTGTTAATGACCTTTCCCTCATGAAATGATTCTGTGATATACTTTGAATATATTTTGTTTTTACTTCTCTGTGTATGTGTTCGATCCTCCAAAAAGAATACATACTCCTTGAGGGCAGGGACAGTTTCACTTTTTTATCTGTCTAATCCTAGCCGTTGGTACAGTGACTTGCATGTAGTACATGCTTAATAAAGATTTTTTGAATTAAATTACCCAAAGTCACACAAATAGTCATTAGCAGAAACAAGATTGAAACCCAGGTTCCTAGCAAATCTACTGCTCTTTGCATTGCTCAAAGGCTGCTTCTGTAATTTATTGGCTTATTACAATTGGAGAATCAGACTTTCACACGTAGCTAACCTTAGGCAACTGGCATAGTTACAGAAGAGAGTAGTCTGGTCAAGGTAGCATTAATTCATTTTAGCCAGAGTAAGGACCGTCCTGGAGAGGGTGTACGGAGTTGCCTCTGGATCTCCCTCCTAGGGGCCCCATTGTGCTGGAGGGTCTGTCAATGGTATATTTTTAGAAGCACATTGTACCACCAGTCTTCAGTCTGGTAACCAGACCATCAATCATTGTGTCAGTGTAGTTGAAGAAAGCCTTCAGAAAATTCAAAAGTCAAGGCTGATTCTGGGAACTTAAACCAAATAGGAGAAAATGGAACAGAAAAGTAAACTATTTCCTCCACATTTCATATGGAAAGAAGGCAGAACTCAATACGCTTCACGGAAACATGACACCAGATGTGATTCTGAAGAGCAGTGAGATAGCTGGAGAGCTTTCGTTGTAGAAATTATAACTGGTACACACACAGCCCTCTATTTATTTGAATTATTATAATTTCTCTCTCCTCTCCCCCAGGAATGAGGATAATGCTAATTTAAAGACAGCTGAAAGGTAATATGTGTTCTGGAATCGGTCTTCTTCCCTCTCCCCAGGAGTTCCCCAATGAAGAAAAGAGTAGGGGGACACTAGGGTGGTAGCAGAATCTGAGAACGGGCCCAAAGGTTCTGGGGGGGATGGTCTCCCTTTCTTCTTTCATTGCCTCTTGGAGAGATTTCCTGTCAGTTTTTACTTTCGGTGCAGGTAGTGGAAAGAAAAGCTGCTGACCTTTTCCCCAGTTGGCCCTTAAAACACAGAAGTTGGTGGGGAGGGGGGTGTCAAACGCTGGCAGTGGTGCTGTTCCAGTGTGCCCCAGGAGGCATGGACCCGAAGCTGCTATTAGACTGGGGGCCAGAGCAACCAATCAGTGATGAACAGGGGAAGAGGGTGAGTCCAGGGCAGCCGGGGGGGGGGGGGGGGAAGGCAGCTTCTGAAAATGTCGACAACTAGCTAGAGGACCAGAAGACCAACCCAATTCCTCAGCATCGCCCCAGATTTCTCTTTGGTTGCAGAGTCCATCCATTCCAGATAGGCAATCTCTTCACTCGATTTGGAGCTTTCTTCCAAAGTCCTGATAAGGAACCTGATGAGGTTTGGGGAGAGGTGAGAGGGAGAAGTGTTCTGAGACGGTAACAAAGAATGGTTTTCTTTGTATTTTGATATGTTTAATAGAAACACGGAGCTGGAGAAATGTGGTTGCTTGTTTAATTATAAATACAGAGGATTTGTCTGAATTTGGAAACTTCCCAAGTGCAGGGATGGAGAGTCTAGATTGTCCTACTTTTACAATCCTGAGAAATAATTGTGTATCACCCTTAGGCTGGAGTTTAGAACTCAGTCAGCAAGGATTTCTTCATGGTGGGAAAACTGCACATGTGCATAGGGAGAATCTTCTGCCTATGTGTCAAAAACACCTTCATTGGCCTGCTGTCCTGGTGGCTTGGGTACAGGGTGCTACCTGGTAAGCGAAATATATACCACCTTCTTTTGCTTTAATTAATTATAAAGTGATGCTTTATCTCCCTGTAGATTTAAGGAAAGAAAGATATGAGCCTACAAGGATTGCTACTGCTTTTGCAACATTTCACACATCATGTGAGATACCCACCAAGTGTACTCACAGCACGCACCAATGTGACAAAAATGGAAATCTTAAACTACAACGGAACTCAATTTAACGAGGTGAACAAGAGATATTACAGCAGGTAGGTGCCACAGTGCCTCTTCCTATCTATTCTCAAAGTTTGTCTACATTTGGCATTTCTCCCAACTTTCTTTGTTTCTTATCTCCTTCTTTCATCCTATTTTCCCTCCTCGTTCATCCCCTCAGAGCCCTACCCTCTCCTGTCAAGAGGACCAGCAGCTAGTCTGATAAGCCCATTCAATACATGAATATACTAATGGGAGAAAACTAGGACTTCCTCAGGGCCCTCACTCAAGTTCCTAGGTCTCTCAAATGCATTTTAAGAAAGGTTCTCTAGGGGGCCAGCTAGGTGGCACAGTGAATAGAGCACTGGCCCTGAAGTCAGGAGGACCTGAGTTCAAACCTGGCCTCAGACCAAATGCTTGACACTTACTTAGTTGTGTGACCCTGGGCAAATCACTTAACCCCAAATGCCTAAAAAAAAGAAAGAAAGAAAGATTCTCTAGAAACAAAAATAATTGATGGGTCTTTCTATTACATTCCATACATTCCAATGAATTATGCTCCTCTAATGTCTTTTTATACTATGTGATTCTTTTCCATGTCCTCTTGTAAAATGGCCCACTCAGTATTCTCAAGGACTTTCGTCTAGTTCTCTCAACATTGCAATCCTACTACAGGAGCGCAAGTCTTGCTCATGCAATAAGTCCTTTCACTTTGAATCCCATTTATGCAACCAGTTATATTTGCTTTCTAAGGACCAGCTTAGCTAAGAATGGCGAGACATCACCAGTGGGGTGGCCAGTGGTGATACATTCTTTGATCATGGAGATCCAAGAATCAAAGAAAAATATAGTTCAAACAGTATCTATTGAGCCTGCCATATGTAAGGCACTGTGTTAGGCACTGGGGATAATGAGACAAAAAAAAAGAAACAGTCCCTACCTTCTATGAGTTTAAGAAAAAATAGCTCTTAGTCCTATGTAGTCCAATTCCACTTTGACAGTAACTGCAGCAGGATGACAAAAAGGGGGCAAAGGTACTAAGAATTATGTTGTATATTCAGAAAGTTAAGCTCCAGGAATAGTATGGAAGAGTGTAGGTCAAAGCCCTTCCCAGACTTGGCCCTGACTTGCAGAACTGGAACAGCCTGTTTATTCAAAGATTTGTAAAGGGTGTGAAAACGTTGAGAAGGTCTAGAAGGCTGAACTTTGGCAGAGACAATGAACTTGCTCAGGAGCTTTTCCCAGCTCATTCACTGATGTGGGCTAACGGGAGAGACTTAGCTTAAAAGCTAAGGAGCTGAGTCTGCCAGGAGTCCAGCTAGCGTGCTGGGGAGTCAAGAGTCTGATGTGTGAAGTTGGGATCCTACGGAAATTCCTGCTGTCTCTAGGGAAGGGTTCAAGTTCTTTCTAAAAAGTGCTTAGCAGTGCCCTAGGCCAGAATGTCAGCTGAGCCCAAAGCTGGAGGCAAGGATGCTCATAGCCAAGCAATTAAGCAGCAGCCATTAAAGCAGCATCTGGTAGCATCCAATGGAAGAGTGCCCGCTGGAGACCAAAACCAAAGTCAGTGGTAACAGTAAAGAGGTTATAAGAGGCCCTGCAGTATTGCAGCATGACAGGCATGAGTTGTCCTCTTCCCGTAGGCCTTGGCTACATGTGTCCCCTGCACGTCTGCCTTTCCCCCTTGTAAACTTTATGTATCTCCACTCTCCCAACTGCCACCAGGGGTATTTGTGGAAGAGTGTGCACCAGGTTTGTGGGGGAGAGGTGTTGTCATTCTTGTATCCTAGTAAATGCCTTTGCTTTGAGCTAATCGTATTCTCCGGTGGACTAGAGACAAGAGAAACACACCAGTGGGGGCTCATGAGCCATAATTTTGGGAGTGCCAACCACTCCGCACCCCGGCTTAATACCTTGAACCTGGGGTAGTTGTCCTTAAGGGATCCAACCTATAATTATGAGTTGGAGATTGGATGATCCAGAGGAGCACTAGGGACATAAAATTTTTTTTTTGCTTTGGCTTTAAAACATTTCCAGACTTAATACAGTCTTCCTCTTTTATTTTCTAGGTGCTACTAAAGATACAAATGTGGGTAAGAAACAAACCCTACCTTCCAGGCATTTATAAATCTAGCAGAAAAAAGAAGTAGACAAGCAGCTGCAGTATAGGATAGCTAGGTGGTACGGTGGGTAGAATACTCATCTTCCTGAGTTCAAATCTGGCCTCAGACATTTACCAGCTGTGTGATCCTGGGCAAGTCATTTAACCCTGTTTGTCTCAGTTTCCTCATCTGTAAAATGAGCTGGAGAAGGAAAAGGCAAATTATTCCAGTATCTTTGCCAAGAAAACCCCAAATGGGGTCACAAAGAGTCAGACACGACTGAAAAGACTCAACAACGATAACTACAGCACGAGGTATGATGTGTTAAATACCATGACAGAGTTATAAACAAAATGCTATAGAGGTAGAATAAATGATAGATTTATAGCTAGACGGAACCATAGAAAACATTTAGGTTAATCCCATATTTTATAGATGAGTAAATTGAAACCCAGAGAAGGGAAGTAATTTGCCCAAGGTCACACAGCTAGTGAGCATAAAAGCTGGTAGTTGAACCAAGGTTCTCTCATGCCAGATTTGGTGTTTTTTCTATCACACCAAACAGGTGCCTCGGGTTCTGTTGGGAAGATCAGAGAAGAAGGCCTAACGAAGGAACCGTCATTCAAAAGGGACCTTGAAATACAGGCAGAATTTCAATAGGTATAAGTACAAAGATTTAGGGAGAGGAAGAGAAGCCATTCCACAAGGATGCTGTTTGACTTAAAAAGCACGGGAGGAGTGGAAAATATGGCTGGAAAGGTAAATTGGAGGATAGATTACATGGGGCCTTGAACGCCAAGCCAGGGAGCTTGAATTTAATTCAGTAAATTATGTGGAGTTAAGAGATTTTGAGCAGCAGAGAGAGTGTAGGGTAAATTTTTTTCTGCTGAAACAGCAACACTGCGGTGCTAGATGGTAGAAAGCTTCAGATGTTCTTGGGAAATGCGTTATCCAGGTTAAATTAAATTTCATCCCTATGTCATAGTTCTACTGAATTCGCCCTGTGCTTGCTAGAGGTTCAGGGAGCAGGTTTCCTCTACTTGATAATTCAAAATATCAGGAAGGTTCAGCTGCTTAAAAATATGTTGTTGTCGTCCCCACCCAGGTGTCAACTGTGTCTGGAATTCTGCCATTAGAAAGCTATCCCTTTGGATTCACCCACCCCTATACATTCTCTTTCAAAATGCAAATACTCCTAGGGTGGAGTAACTGGTGGAGCACTATCTTGTTCATGATTTTTTTCAGGTTTTTCCTCTGAAAGGAATCAGTTTGCTGGTCAAAAAGCATTTATTAAGGGGCAGCTAGATGGCACAGTGGATAGAGCACAGGCCCTGGAGTCCGGAGGACCAGAGTTCATATCCAGGCTCACACACATAACACTTACTAGCGGTGTGACCCTGGGCAAGTCACGTAACCCCAGTTGCCTCACATACACAAAATAAAAACAACAACAACAACAAAATGTTTAAAAAAGCATTATTAAGCCCTTGCTATCCGTGAGGCACTGTGCTAAGCTTTTCTTTCCTTAGAAAGGAGTTGCTGTTGAAAGCTGGGAAAAGAAACGGAAAGTAGAATTAAAGGGTATTGAAAATAACATCCTCAACTCACCGTGTCGCCTAAGGCTACCCTGGTCCTCACTCAGGCTCACCTTGCTCTGTGACCCTGCCCTCAGGTCTATAAAATCTTTCCAAGTGACTTAGGAAAGTCTTTCTTCTTTTGTCCTCAGGCTTCCTGCAGCCAGTCTTGGAGGAAGCGGGCTTCTAAATGGGGCCTTTCTCTCTCTTGGGTCCAAAGCTTTCCAGGTTTACCAAAGTGCCAGTGCCGAGGATGCTGGCTAATGGAGGACTTTTACCAGCGGGTCTACTCAGATTGTATGTGTTGTCAACATATCAAAGATCATGAGATGTAATGAGATAATATTCACAGCAAGTAAAATAACCCCCAAAATAACCATGGTATTAACTTTATAGCATTTTGAAGTTAGTTACAAAGTGCTTTCCATAAATTACTTCATAATGTAGTACTATCACATGACTCACTGAAATCAATCAGTAAGCATTTATTAAGTACCTTCTATATACCAGGCGCTACAGGTAGAGAATACAAGACTCCATTGCACATGGTGTTTTTCATTGTTAGAAAAAAAAAAAAAAGGATTTGTTTTGGCAGAGTAAAATGCTGCCTCATAGCAACTCTTCCCATAAAGTGCCTCCCATGACTACATCAAAATCATTAAAGTCTCTCATAAGACATAACAATGGAGATGATCTTGTTTGAAGACTTTATGATTAAGCTCAGTACTAGAATAATACAAGGACTAACTGTGTGACCCTAGGCAAGTCACTTAACCCCAATTGCTTCACAAAAAAAGAAAAAAAGAATAATATAAGGAGACTTATGTTTGCCAAAGGTGCTCATTGCTTACACGGAGATCCAGCAGAGTCTAAATGGAAGTTGTTGTTCAGTCATTTTTTCAGTTGTATCTGATTCTTCATGACCCCATTTGGGGTTTTCTTGGCAGAGATACTGGAGTGGTTTCCCATTTCCTTCTCCAGCTCATTTTACAGATGAGGAAACTGAGGTCAACTGGGTTAAGTGACTTGCCCAGGGTCGCACAGCTAGTAAGTGTCTGAGGCCAGATTGTAACTCAGCTGTTCCTAACTCCAGACCCAGCGTTCTATCCACTGCTCCAACTAGCTGAGGAATGCCCTCTTGTTGGCAATGTCCTCCAGATGATCTCCTTTTTGCGGCTGACCTTGTGCTGGTTACATCAAGCCCTAGAATAGTCAGTCAACAAACATTTTAAAGTACCCACTATGTGCCATGTATTGTGCTAAGCCCTGGGGATACAAGGAAAAAACAAACAAAAAAACCAGTCATTGTTCTCAAAGAGTTCACAGCCTCATTGAACTAATTGAAATAGCCTCTCAGAAGAGATTTATAGTCATGCAAAAGGGTTTGACCTAACCATCTCATGAAGGAAAAACCAAGCAGACGAAGAGTATCTTTTGCCTAAATTATGACACATGATTACACAGCCTTCAGTTTGCCTACCAGTGCCTATGTTTTGAACAGACATTGGACAATTTGGAACAAGATGCAGCACATGATTGTGATGGAGTACCGTTGTGCTATAAGAAATGATGAGGAGGATGGTTTCAGAAAACATGGGAAGACCTATACGAACCGATGCAAAGTGAAATAAGCAGAACCAGGAGATCATTGTACACAGTAACAGCAATATTGTAAAGACTGTCAACTGTGAAAGACTAAGCAATACTGATAAGACTTATCAAAAACTGATTTACAATGATCCAAGACAATTCCAAAGGACTCATGATGAAAAAAATGCATTCACCTCCAAAGAGAGGAAATGATGAACTCTAAGGGCAAATTGAAGTGTAATTTTTCACTCTCCTTATTTTTCTTGCTTTTTTGTGATATGACTAATATGGAAATATGTTTAACATGATTTTACATATATAATTGATACCATATTGTTTGCTTCTAAATGAGTGGGGGAGGAGTGGGAAAGAGGAAGAGAATTTGGAACTCAAAAAAAGTTTTAAAGGAATGCTAAAAATAAATAATAAATTTATTTTAAAAAAGAAAAAGAAAATGGACAAGTTGGGTCCAGAATTGAATCGAAAGAGTAAAACAGACTGGATCATCTTTGTACAACTGCAAAACTCTATAGTCAAACTCCTCACTGAAATAAAAGCCTATCTTTTTAATAGAAATATTTTACCAGTCAATTTCAGTTATCATGAAGATAAGCAGAAGTGTGCTAGAGCAAGGTTGAAATGGCTAGAGCCTATCACTAAATTTCAGTTTGAGCATTTACACCTCAGAGATCAGCAAATTCTACAAATCAGGGCTTGTCATTGTTTTGTTGAACGTTAAGACTTAAGAAAGTGATGGAGAAAATGTTCATTATACGTATTAAACTTAAAGATGTATTAGGTATCCTTTTTTTTTTCCCAATAGCAAATTGTTAAACATTTATAAGTACAGCCCTGAAGATGCAGTTTTCACAGTACTGTGGCCCAGACTGGGGAGTGAGCCCCTTGGATAATACTTCCAAGAAATCAGTTTGTATTAGAAAGATTAGGTAGATAACTACCTGTATTTTTTCTTCTCTCTCCTTCTGTATAGCTTCTCAAGGTGAGTATATCCTAGCTAGAAGAAGGACTTTGTTTCCTTCTTTCCATATGCTTGTTTCTTTATGGTTTTTTTTTTTCCTCAAAGTCACAGACCCTGTTTCAGGACGATCCCTATCCCAGCACACTGGATAGTCTGGCATTCTGGCCAGGAATCCCTGGCAGGGATACAGATTATTCAAAGAGCTAATGCCAATACAACTAGCTGTTGACAAGGGACCATCACTGTGAAATTACCAGGTACTGGGAATGTGGTCAGTTTGGGAGAAATGGTCATGATGAGTAATTGGTTGGGGTTGCCACCTCTTCTTACAGATTTTGGGTCTCAGTTTCCTCATCTTAATATGAGGTGTAAGATAAACTCCAATGACCTCGTCTGCAAAGACTATAAATGCTTTTTTTCCACAGAGTTAAGAAAAGGCAGTGTGCCAGAAAGATCTGTGTTCTCGTCCCATCTCTAACAGACAGACAGTGTGACCATGGGCGAGTCATTTCATCCCTTACTACTCTATGCAACTAAGACTTAAAATTGCAGAGAAGGTTCCGATCGGCATTGAGGGAGTTTACTTACCTGGGAGTTCCCTATACCAAAGAAATCTCAAGTTCTGTCCCTGGTCCTGTCTTAAAGAACTAGTGTCTTGAGGAATTGTCAGTATAACTGTTATTCTGGAAAGTCTACTTTTGTTTTATGGAAGAAGAAAGACAGAGAGGTAAAGGGAGAAAGAGGCTGAAGACAATTTATTTCCTAACAACACTGCTTGCAAAGAAACATTATGAAGAGAATTCTTGAAAGACTTTGTCAGCTACCCTGAGAAAGGTGAATGATGGGATTATGTTTCCAAAATTGAGATGTCAGCATTTTTTAATAATAGTTAAAGGTGATTTTGGCTGTTGTCTCTCACAGCCAATATATATTAGAAGTAGTTATTTATGTCTTAGTTTGGTTTTTAATCATACTTCTAATAGTATAGCCAGCAAACTTTTTTTAAACCTAGAAAATAAGGAGGGTTGATATATAGAGAAGTTTCTCTGGTTTATAAAATAACTAAGAGGGAGATAATACACAGAACTGCTATAATAGAAATGGCATAAAGTTTGGAGTCAGAGGACCTGAGATGAAATGCTGCTCTGCCATTTATTATATGTATAACCTTGCTCACTTAACCTTTCTGGTCCTGTTTCCTCATCTGTAAAATAAGGGAGTAAGACTTACCATTACACACACACACACACACACACACACACACACACACACACACACACATTAAAATTTGATAACTTCTTTTTTTTGGTTGAGGGGGGTGGCTGGGCAATGGGGTTAAGTGACTTGTCCAGGATCACACAGCTAGTAAATGTCAAGTGTCTAAGGCTGGATTTGAATTCAGGTCCTCCTGACTCCAGAGCCAGTGCTCTAGCCACTGCACCACCTAGCTGCCTTCAAGATTTGATAACTTCTGATGACCCTTCCATTCCTAAACCTATAAGCACATGAGCTTATAATATTTAATAAACTGGTGTGGGATATCAGAGCTAATTGTTAATTAATGAGAGCAATGTTGCAAACATTGCAGTTAACTTAGAAATCTTATTGGTTGCCATAGAACTATCGATGAGAATGAGTAAGGTTGACGGGTCAGTAGTAGGCAGAAAGAAAGATGACCCCCTTCCCCACTTTAGGCTATGTGTAGAATGGTCTACTTTAAACCTTGATACTAATAATATCCCTTCCAGGTTGAAAATTCTATGACTTGTGGTATAATGGGAAAAGCATTGACTCTGGGGTCAGAGGATCAATTCCCATTCACTTAACCTTGTGAGCCTCACTCTTGTCATCTAGAATGAGGGGATTGGACCACATGTCCTTTTGGGTCCACACCAGCTGCAGATCTAAGATCCTGTTATCTTACTAGCAATGTGACCATAAGCAAATCACTTTACCTCTGAGCTTGTGTTTCCTCCTCCTGGAATCAGGACAGGACAATAAAACTCCCACTACCTACTTCAAAGGGCTGTTGTGAGAACCAAACGAGATAATACATATAAAAGTGCTTTGTAATGATAAAGCACCGTATAAATGTGAGTTACAATTCTATGATTTAGATCAGAAAGAAAAGTTGAAGAAGTGTGAAGTAAGTGGGGAACTCAAGGGCATGATGAGATTTTTTTGAAAAAAGACGTCTGCTGAGAACTCCAAACAACATGGGTGCTCATCTCTTGAGGAATGGCTAGACAACCTGCAGTATGTGGCCATAAAAAATTATTTTGAGATAGGAAATAACAAATATGAGGAATACAGAGAAACATTGGCAGATTTGTATGAACTCATGCAGACTGAAAGTCAGCAGAACCAACAAAACAAGATATACACTGGTTATTTTAGTTTTTATTCTATGAGCCAGCCTACCTCTCAATTTGATTCAAATCAATAAACATTTGTTAAATGCCTACCATAGGTCAGGCATTGCGCTAAGCTTTGTGGATACAAAAAGGGGTAAAAGACAGTCCCTGACCTTCAGGAACTTACAATCTCAAAGGGGGAGACAACATACAAACAAATATATACAAAGCAAGCTATATACAGGATAAGTAGAAAATTACTGAAAGAGGGAAGTCATTGAAATTAAAAGGGATTGGGGAAGGCTTCTTGCAGGAGGTGGGATAGTAGTTGGGACTTAAAGGAAGCCAGGGAGGTCTGTAGACTGAGGAAGGAGGTTTCTAGGCAAGGGGGATAGCCAGAGGAATGCTCAGAGCTGGGATTTGGAGTGTCTTATTCATGGAATAGCCAAGAGGCCAATGTCACTGGATCAAAGAGTACCTGTTGGGGCACTAAGGTGTAAAAAGACTGGAAAGACTGAAGGGACTAGGTTACTAAGAGCTTTGAATGCTAAACAAAGCATTTTGTATTTGTTCCTAGAAGCAATAGGGAGACACTGGGTTTTATTGGGGGGGGGAGGGTGACATGATCAGAACTGTGTTTTAGGAAAATCTCTTTGGTGGCTGAATGGAGGATGGATTGGAGTGGGGAGAGACAAGGCAGACGACCCACAGCAAGCTATTCCAATAATCCAGGTGTATGGCCATAATGCCTGCACCAGAGTGGTGGCAGTGTCAGAGGAGAGAAGGGGGCTATTCAGGAGATGTTGCAGAGGTGAAAGTGACAAGCAAAGGTGAAGTTGGCCACAATGATATGGTGGATGAGAGATAGTGAGGAGTCCAGGGTGACTCCTATGTTGTGAGTCTGGGAGTGGGAGGATGGTGTAATAGGGAAGGTAAGAGGTGGGGAGGATTTAGAGGGAAAGATAATGAGTTCTGTTTTGGACATGTTGAGTTTAAAAAGTTTACTGGATGG